CCATAGCTAAAACCATACATAAGCTTAACCATAGCTAAAATCATACATTAGCTGAACCATAGCTAAAATCATACATTACCTAAACCATAGCTAAAATCATACATAAGCTAAACCATAGCTAAAATCATACACTAGCTTAACCATAGCTAAAAGCAGCATAAGAAAACAAGAGTATGGCTATCAGTCCATAATCCATCTGTCAGTAAACTGAATCAAAATGCAGAACATGATCTCCTTCATACAACAATCCTGAAAATATTGTTTACATGATGGCGGAGGGTCAAAGGTCATGATGGTGGAGGGTCAAATATCTTAATGGTGGAGGATTAAAGGTTATGATGTGGAGGATCAAAAGACATGATGGTGAAGATGTCAAAGGTCATGATGGTGGAGGGTCAAAGGTCACGATGGTGGAGGATTAAAGGTTATGATGGTGGAGGGTCAAAGGTCATGATGGTGGAGCTGTCAAAGATCATGGTGGTGGGAGCAAAGATGATGATGGGGTCAAAGATCATGATGATGGAGGGTCAAAGGTCATGATGGTGGCGGGTCAAAGATCATGATGGTGGAGGATTAAAGGTTATGATGGTGGAGGGGTCAAAGATCAAAATGGTGGAGATGTCAAAGGTCATGATGGTGGAGGATCAAAGTTCATGATGGTGGAGATGTCAAAGATCATGGTGGTGGGGTCAAAGGTCATGATGGTGGAAATATCAAAGATCATGATGGTGGAGGATTAAAGGTTATGATGATGCTCTGGTGAAGACAGACGTGTCTCCCTGTGTTTCGTCCCCCCACTTCCCTGCTTGCTCTCTTGTCTTGTGAATCCTTAAAGAGCCTCTTTTTTTTCCTGCATACCTTCCTAATTCGAAGGATTTGATCAGTTGGTCTCTCAACAAAATTGATCAACTTCTCCTGACAGGAAGTCAGGGTAAGTAGGACCCCCTTACCTGTGAAAACAAATTGGATTCATGATGACAAGTGGATTTTGCTGTTTGGGTTGGTGAAATCAGGATTGTCTACAAATTCGTGTGGATGTGTCGAAGCTCGGCAGCACTCAGACTGAATTATGTGGAGCTGCGTCAGAGCTGGAGCAGGCTGTTATCAGGACTATGAACTTTCTGGCAGCACCCATGAATGGTTGGGAATAATCTTGGAGAAAGCTGTGAGCTCGACTTTCGGCATAAGGAATCAATTTGGCTGTTTGTGGTTACCATCAGAGAACTGTAGCAGTGAGACTTTAAAAGGCAGAAATGGCAATTGACGAGTTCTGCCTGACCCAAACTGTGGCCTTGACGGCGGACTTATCTCAATCCCTCCTGGCATGTTTAGGAAAAACAAAGACACTTTGTCTGTCTCCTCACCCGTCCCTTCCCCAAGGCCGTGGACATGTGACGGAACCTCATCCGAGCTGATGATAACTAACACCTCTTATCTGGACAATGGCTGAGGGGGGGGGGGGGGGGCTCTGGACTATGCTACGACTTTCCCTTAAATATTCAATGTCTTCTTCGACCTATATGTAAATGTATAACGTATATTTATGTTGCATTTCTGTGGTAGATTTTTTTTGATGCCTCAAATCATGCTCTGTCTAGGACACGGTGTGAGAGATTTTTTTTATACCGTCTCACCTCATGTTTACTTCCCTTTTCTCATCTAAGCAAAATATTATTCTGAACAAGAATAAGAAGGCCACGCTTATAGCAGCAGCTTCGTGCACTCCGTCCATCTTTCGGATGACTGTACGTACATGTTCTCGTATCTCGGTGCAATGATAATAAAGCTGATTCTGAGTCTGAAGATCATGGATCATAGTGGGGTCAAAGGTCATGATGGTGGGGTCAAAGGTCATGATGGTTTAGACGTAAAAGGTCATGATGGTGGTGGGTTCAAAGATCTTGATGGTGGAGGATCAAAAGTCATGATGGTGGAGAGGTCAAAGGTTATGATGGTAGAGAGGTAAATTGATGGTGGTGAGGGTCAAAGGTCATGATAGTGGAAATGTCAAAGATCATGATGGTGGAGGATCAAATGTTATGATGGTGGAGATGTCAAAGGTCATGATAGTAGAGGTCAAAGATCATGATAGTTGAGAGATCAGATGATGGTGAGGGTCAAAGGTCATGAAGGTGGAGAGGTCAAAGGTCATTCTGACTGATAGTGATGTCTTCCATGGTGTAAATCAACAAACAGTTCAATTAAAGAACATGAAACTGCAGTTAGGAGTTAGGTGTGAAGAACTTACCTGTTGACCATCAACTGATCCAAACCGTATGGTCAGAGGAGCGGACTTCACCAGAACCAGAACCACTCAACGCTTCTTTGTTGAAAGTGGTCTGAATAAAACGATCTAATGTGCAGACATAGTCTGAGGACATTTTCTGTCCTAAACATCTGAAAGACTCACTATGGACAACTTACTGTGGACTGTCTTATGGATGGACAGGTAGGGACACTCTAGGGGACAAAGGGTTTGACATTTCTGTTACTCAGATGTCAACCTGGAGCAGAGACAAGGTTTAACAATAAGGTCACCTATGACCTTGACCTATGACCTTGACATCAACAGGGATCATCTTTGACCCAAGGGGTGTCCCGCTGTGCAGTTTGACATTTCTTTGTCCAAGGGATCTCAGTTTAGAGCTTGGACCAGAAACTGTCCACTGACAGATGGAGTTGACAGTTTTCTGTTCGGTTGGTACCAGAAGTCTTCGGTCGGAAGCAGCAGCTGCTTCCTGTTTGCTCATTAAGAACCTCAGCGTGAAACGTCCGCAGGGCCAAAGCTGCTCAGCATCATCAGCCGGTGTTTTAAACCGCTTGGACAGTTTGTCACCCGGAACAGAACCGAGTGACGAGGATGAAGGACTTCGTTTGTCCTCCACCGCTGACAGAACCCACAGGTCCAACAGCTGATGTTCTGAAAGATTCTGTGTCATTGAACGTCCCATAAAGTCAATAAATGTGATCCGTCTCTGCAAGAACTCCACAGATTAGTTTAATCATCAAACACTTAAATTATTGGTCTAACAGGACGTTTTAATGTTGTTACAGGTTAAAGATCCACAAGTTGAAAGTCCAGAATGACCAGAACCACGTCACCTTCAACAAATGTTCCCTTTTTCTTCTAACGGTCCAAAAAGCTGAAACAGAACCTCAAGAGACAAATAAATAACACTGAAAATACAACAATCATTTTACAGCTTTGACCCGTCACCTCAGCAAACATACCAAAAAGTCAGAACCTTAAAAAAAAAAGCATCAGCAGAACCAGAATTCAGGAGAGACATTCAGAACCAGAAAAAAAAAAAAAAAAAAAAAAAAACTAACATGAGTTTCTGCAGAATTGATCATTTTTTGTCATTAATATTCCTCAAATTAACAGGCAGAAATCTAGAAACCCAAACTCTGAACAGAACTCTGAAAGCGGGCCCAGCAGGACTGTCATGGACGAACTGGATCATTTACAACAGATTCTTTCTTTAGTTCAAGAAGTGATTCCTGTTGATTGAATCAGAGCAGAACTGAGAAACAGAACCTGAGTCCAAAAGACCACAAACTACTGAATGTTCTTAAAATGAATCTTTGACGGCACGTTTCACAAATGTTATAAAGTTAAAGAACCAGAACTTTTCAGGGTTTGAGTATTTTAGGTCTTTTCATTAAAATGCTACAAATGGTTCTTTTATTTTGAAATAAAACACCTTAAACCCTACAGTAAGGGAGCGAGACACAAACAGGAAATGAGCGTCTAACGCAGTAAAACATGAAAAACTTTGGAGAAATATTTCCACTCGAATGATGCAAAGTAAAACATGTGGCACATTTTGTTTCCTGTTTCCAGTTCATTCAGCTTTAAAAGCTTTTTATAAAAAGTCAAAATCGTAATTATCTGTTAAAGTTCCATTATTATTTTAGAAATTATTAAAAATGTCTCACTGCCGTTCTGTCTGATAATGAGTAGCTTTAAAAAAAAATAAAAGCAAACAGTAAATGTAAAAAAACAACCCGTAAATGTTCCCCAAAGCTGCTCTCAGATCAGCCTGTTGCCATGACAACTGGAGTTGCAGCAGGACCAACCAATTCAAATGTCGCTCCACAGGACGGCACGCCTGCTCTTGTCCACGCTGATGACGTATTCTCCAGTCAGTGACCAGGACACGGCGCTGATGGACGCTCTGAGGACGAGAGGCGGAGTTAAAACCGGGTCATGTGATGCCATGCATGAAAACTTACAAAATAAAACATTGTCAGCTGTTTGTGTTTACGTTCCATCAGCTGTTTGTGTTTACATTCCATCAGCTGTTTGTGTTTACATTCCATCAGCTGTTTGTGTTTACGTTCCATCAGCTGTTTGTGTTTACGTTCCGTCAGCTGTTTGTGTTTACGTTCCGTCAGCTGTTTGTGTTTACGTTCCGTCAGCTGTTTGTGTTTACGTTCCGTCAGCTGTTTGTGTTTACGTTTTGACAGCTGTTTGTGTTTACGTTCCGTCAGCTGTTTGTGTTTACATTCCGTCAGCTGCTTGTGTTTACGTTTCGACAGCTGTTTGTGTTTACATTCCGTCAGCTGTTTGTGTTTACATTCTGTCAGCAGTTTGTGTTTACATTCTGTCAGCTGTTTGTGTTTACTGTCTGTCAGCTATTCGTGTTTACATTCTGTCAGCTGTTTGTGTTTACATTCTGTCAGCTGTTTGTGTTTACTTTTTATCAGCTGTTTGTGTTTACATTCTGTCAGCTGTTTGTGTTTACTTTTTATCAGCTGTGTGTTGACATTTTGTCAGACTGCTGTTTTTTAGTCCTTTGGTTTTAACATTAAATTAGGCTCTAATTTGAACAGTCCACATGAATCAAACACTGGTTCCTTTAAATGTAAATGTATTGGGCCGGGACAGCCTGGTTCCAGAACCAATCAGCTGTTCACCTGTGTTTGTCAGGTAGGCGAGTCTCCAGGCTGCCGGTGGAGATGTTCCAGATGTAGACGGCTCCGTCAGCTGATCCGGCTGCCAGGTAGCTGCAGTCGGGGCTGCAGAGAAAACATGTGGCTGAAAAGTGCAAACTCATTGGACCAGAACCACCCCAAACTTTTACTGCAGCGGTGGTGTGCTGCCTGTCTGTGAGCTGAACACAAAGCATGCAGGTGCTACTGTTGTCATAGAAACTGGCTGTTAGTGCTGATCAGAATCAACAAATGGTGAAACACAAAAAACCAGATCATCAAGTGAAGAACTGAGCAGAACCACCAGATGGGTTTTTTAAAGTCTTTAAACCACAGAAACTACCTGAGGTGTTGGAGGTTCTGTTTATCTGACCTGAAGATCAAAATCATGCAGATGAGGAAGACTCTGCTGTTGGACCAGAACCTCCACCTTACAATAACCTTACAATAAATAAATAAATAAAAATTCCCCCTCGTTATCAACAACATTCTGGTCTGATGGAGGATTCCAGCTGTTCTACAGTCCTGGATCTTCTCTCCTTGATGGGAGCAGATGTTCTAAATCTGCAGATGCTTTTCTGCATTGCTGGAGCTTTTTCAAATGTGTAAGCTAAGAGACACTAATGCACCTCCATACCATCAGGGAGGCAGACTTTTGTACAGGGAGCTGGTAACAGGCTGGATGGCTCCTCGCGTCTTTAGCATGGAGGACATGACGTGTCCTGGTCCACCATGGTTAAAGGAGGGTTTGTGTTCAGAAGTTGTTTGGTTTTGAACCTGGTTCTGGATCAGTGGACCAGGTCTTTACTAATGCAAATTTCCTAAGGGCATCATGGGAGTCCGACTCTCCTGTCTTCAGGTGTTTCGTGTGTTGTTGGACGCAGCTAACGACCGCCTGACTCAATGAGAAGGTGCACAGAAAGAGCGCTTCTGACCGAGCTGCGGCGGTTAAAAGTGCTGCAGTCTCACTGAGTTGGTTTCTACAAGCAGTTCTTAATTCACGGCTTATTTTAAGTCTGTGCACATTATTTTGTTTAATTGGTTTAAAGGTGTTTGGACCGGGCCTCACCTGATGACAGCCTTGGTGCTGTCGCTGCCACATTTGAAGCCTTCAGCCCTGAAATCGAACACAGCGTGACCAACGGCAGCCATCTTTAAACACGCCGTTACACCTCCCGAACCTCTTCTACCTGAAGCACACACGCTCGTTGCTCCACCTCCTCAGGTCCATCAGCTGCAAGCAGTCGTCGCGGCAACAGCTGAGCAGCTGGCGCCGGTCGGAGCTCAGGTCCAATGAGGTGACGCGACCCTGAGCAGGAAGCTCCTGAACGCAGCTCACTGCCCTGAAATTTTAAATATATTTTTCATGTAAATAAATACAAAAATGTGCCGCTTTATATTTGTTAGTTTGTATTTTATGTTGACAGAAATGTTGTATTTCTAAAAAAAATCAAAAGCAGTCTTTACAAATTATTTTAAATGCAAACTTTAAACACTAACTTTCATCTAAATAATGAGAAAATATTTATTTAAATGTATATGATAAAAAGGAATAAAAATATTTAATCTTTTAATTTCTTTGTTTACTTTTCAGACCAAAGGGGTCCGGTTCTGACCAATCAGAGTGGATGATGTCACTCAACAAATCTGTTTGTTTTTATTGTAAAAAGTATCAACAAGGCGTTAACAGCAAATGACCAATCAGCTGCAGGGAGAGGTGGTGCTTTGATTCGACTGGTCAATAATTTGCCGAGAGACAGTAGGCGGAGCTTCATGGGTTCCGTTGTTGCTTGGTAACAGGTAAGGAGGGCTGAGACACACCAGAGGAAGAAGATGAAGATGAAGAGGACGTACCTCTGGTCCCAAACTCGGATCTTGGAGTCATAATGTCCGCTGATGATGCTGCTCTCAGAACAGACCAGGTCCGTGCAGTATGACCCCGCCTCCACCTGCTGCACACCTGCAAGGACACACACCTGTCTCAGCTCAGCCAATCAGAAGGCAGAACACACTCACAGGCTGCTCAGCCAATCAGAAGGCAGAACACACTCACAGGCTGCTCGGTGAAGGTCCCACAGCCGGACGGTTCGATCTTGACTTCCTGTCACCACCTGGTGGGGGATGCAGGTGAACCGGGCCGCTGTTACCTTCCTGCTGTGACCCGTTAGAGTCACCTGACACACACACAGATTAGTCTTTTATTTTTTTATGTCCTGTCATCTTGAAAACAAATTACCAACAGGGCAGACCTGCAGGTGACCTGAACCTGCAGGTGACCTGGACCTGCAGGTGA